CTGCGTGGCATTGCTGCATGTATCTTCCTCAGGCTAAGGCTTTGCCTAGGCTGTGGAGCAAAGTTCTTTGGCTGCATCAGAGGACCCAGAGACCCATTCCTTCCTCCTGCTTCCATTGCTGCCTACTTAAAGCAACTGCTTATGCCTCCCCATGGCCACATCCTGCCTTTCAAGATTTAGTTTATAGAAGTCCTTCCTTCCCATCAACTAGTGTGAAGCAAGCGTCTCTTCTGAACCCTGTGACCTTTTATGACATGAGAGGCAACCTAGGGTAGAGGTGAAGAGCCTGGACTCTGGAGCAGGCTATCTTGGTTCAACTCCCATCTCTACTCATTATTGCCTGTATAGCCTTGACAGTTACTTACTCTCCGAGCCTTAGTTGCTTCATGTGTAAATGGGAATTAAAACGGCCTACTTCATACAGTTTTGACAACTTAGTGTGTATATAATATATAAATTTATATATATAAATTATATATAAATTTATATAAATTTATATATATACATATATAAATAAAATAAAATTTATATAGATAGATAGATAGATTTTTTTTGGGGGGGAGAGATTTTCACTGTAGGGCATGTGCGCTCGCCAGACAAAGAGAGACATAGAGACAGAAAGCGAGAAATTACTCACCAGGGGGGATGGCCACACCGCAATCCCTTCTCCTCCATTCTCCTCTCGGGATCTTGGGCACGCACGCACACACACCTGGTGTGAGTTTTAAGCCACAGGGTCTGGGACACAAACCGCAGTCGACTATGTGGGAGTCCAGCGACATAGGCATTACGCTAACTGCTGGTTCCCTATATATAGATTTATATATAAATCTATATATGTATATCTCAATCAAGTGATTAGGACAGTAATTGGTGTCAGTGCTTGGAAAGTATGTGTAACTGTTTTTTTTGTTTTGTTTTTTCTTAATTTCTTTTTTCTTAGAATTATTTTATTTAACTTTTTTTATTTTAATTTTACCAGAGAGGAACAGAGTGAGAGCAAGAGCAAGAGAGAAAGTGAGTAAGCAAGCCACCAGGCCTGGGACTCAAACTGTGGTTGGCCGTGTGGGAATCTAGTACCCTTATCCACCATGCCAATCGCAAGCCCCCAAAAGTATATGTAACTGTTAATTTTGCTTTATGATATATAAACATATATGCAAAATTATGGGTGTTACTTGTGATATAGTTTATTGAAAGCAGGGTTGTTCATATCGTAGCTTAGGCACTGACAGTTTAATTTCATAATGCATATTGAACAGATTCATTTTAATCTGTCAATTTAATATTTATAGCAAAAATAAAATTGTATTCTTTAACTCTTAACTATACCTTTTTAGTATCTTTTTTTAAAAAAAAAATTGTTTATTTAATTTTATTTATTCATTCATTATCCTAATTTGACCAGAGATAAACAGAGAGAGAGAGCGAGAGAGAGAGAAAGTGAGAAAACAAGTCACCAGGTCTAGGATTCAAACCATGGTGAGCCATGTGGGAGTGTCCAGCACCATAATCACCACGCCACCTGCTGGTTCCCCCTTCTTAGTAACCTTTTAACAGAATGTAAAACATTTGTGTAATTCTTTGACTTCTCTGTCCTCAGAAAGTATTTAGTTGTATATTAAGTTAGTAGGTAGAAGAATGTCAGTGTTATTTTGTAATTTTGAACTTGCCTTTTTTTCTTTTTTTCTTTTTTTGGAGAGGTTTTTGCTATAGGGCATGTGCGCTCGCCAGAAAGACACAGAGAGACAGAGAGATAGAAAGTGAAAAATCACCCCCCAGGGAGAATGGTCACGCCACAATCCCTTCTCCTCCATTCTCCTCTCGGGATCTTGGGCACGCATGCACACATGCCCGGCATGCGTTTAAGCCACGGGGTCTGGGGCTCGAACCACGGTCAACTACATGGGAGTCCAGCGACATAGCCATTACGCTAACTGCTGGTCCCTGAACTTGCCTTTTCTTAATATACTAATCAACTAAATAATGAAAATAGGTTGTTTCTTTAAATTTCTGAACCAGTGAGTGAACTTTTACAGCCCAATTTTGTCTTCCTTTCTCCTTGAAGTAAATTGACTAATCCAAACTTATACCTAACATAGTCTCCTTTAATTGAATCTAATATTTAGTTAAATTGAGAGCTATAATAAAATTATTCCTCTGTACATTATAAAGGAAATAAAATTAAAGTTTGATAAATTTATGTATGTTTGTCCTATGAGGATATATTATTTGGAATTATTTGGAGATAGCTAACCTTTTCAAGACAGTGATGATTTTGCTATTGTGGTACTTAATTGGAGGCCCTGCCATCGCAGGCACTCCTCACTTCTGATGGCTGCGCTTCAGGTGCCCATTGTATCTAGTGCTGGTTATATTCAGAAAAAGGAGCTGAGCCTTCTCCAGTTGCCCTGACTCCTCGTCTGTACCTCCCTGAACTTTGTTTGCCGTCTTTGGTTCAGCACTTTAACATCTTTTCTTCCAAACCGGAAGCTTCTGTTGTGTTCACTGTCTTCCTGTGTGCTCACGTAGACCAGATGCTTAGCCTGGGCTTCTCCCTGCTTGTCTCTACACACAGCCAGCCCACGTCCCCTAAATGCCTCTCCCCTCTCTGCTGGCCCTGCTTAACCCAGGCCCCTGCATCTCTTCCTGGACTGGTACCTAGGGTCTAGTTTTGTTGCCTCCAGGCCACACAGAATGCAAAGGCCTCTGCTCAAAGTCCTCCGGCGGCTGTCCCCATTGACTGTCGGTGGAACCCAGCTTTTGTGCTGTGAGCCTTTGTACCCCCTTCCAGTTGATGGTAGAATATTTGTATTTTTCTATGATTGTTATGTGTTTTGGAAAACCTACCTATATTGGGTTCTATGGCTAGAAGCCAGTTTTGCTTGGGACCGGCCAGTTTACCCCAGTTTCCCTTCATTCTCAGAGGTGCCCTGGCATGGAACATGAGTTATCTGGTCGTCCTAACCACGACCTGCAGATTGAGAATTTGTAGCTGATCTCCTGCCTCTGTCCTCTGTTTGAAGTGCCTTCCTCTCTGCCTGCCCAGTATCGCCCACACGTGAACTGAGCGCTCCCCACTTTGGATCCACTTTGGACCCCACGTCCACTTCCACGCAGCACTGTCCATTCTGGTTCCTTGTACTCTCTGTTTCTGTGCCAGTCTCCCTCATAGTTCAGGAACTTCCGTGGGGATCAGAAAAGAGCCTCAGTCACCTTGAACCGCTAGCCTGGCCAGAGCCTGACATATTGGGGTTCATGAATAAGCGAGTGAATGAGTACATTGTGAGGATTAAATATGTAAATAAGATAGATGTAAGTCACTGAGAATAGTGTCTGGCATATACGAAGGGCTCAGCTAATGTTAGTCCACCTACTGGTGTCAAACAGCACTTCCAGTATTGGAGGAGGAAGAACGAACAACATAGACAGAATTCCTACTTGGCGAAGTTTGCGTTCTTCTGGGAGGAGATAGACGTAAACATGTAATATTTTAGGAAATAATAAGTACTATAAATAACAATAAAGCAAAATAAAAAGTAGAGTAGCAGTAGGATTTGGAGAGTCCTAGCTTCCAGATCACAAAGCAGAGAAGGCAGAAGAGCAGCTTCAGAGCTGAGAGATAATAACCTAATAACCAGCACAGGCGCTAAAAATAAACACCGGGCCAGTGCTGTGGGGCAAGCAGAGGGCGGTCAGGGAAGCCGGTCCTGATTCGGTCATCTGAGCAGAGATCTGAACGAAGGGAAAGTTTTTTTACATTTGCTGCGAGAGGAGAGTGGGCTGAGGTTCATGATGGGCTGCTGGCGGGGGTGCCATTGAGGCCTGTGTGGTGAGATGCAGTGGGTGAAGTGGGCACGAGCAGGAGCTGAGGTCACGGTTGGACTGAGTGAGAACGGATGGCCAGCTGGGCTGCTGGTTGGAAATGGAATGACTTGAATTTGTCTGTTATATAAAGTCCCTTTCAACTTGCTGTTTTGTCATTCTTAATTTTGCTGTAAAGTCCGGAGTGGTAAATTACGCTGAGTAGCTACACCATTAACAGTTAGGCTGTCACACATGCCCAGATCGTAGGAAGTCAAATGAGGTAATATGACAACCATATTTGGAGCCTCGAAGTGCTATACTACTGAAAGGGAACACCCTTAGTGGCTCGGTATCTTTAGTTTAACTCAGTATCAAGGAAAGTGAAGTTTGTTTCTAGACTCTTTTTATCATGAGTTTTGAAAGCTGCCTGTCAGCATTGAAAAATAGCAGCCTTAAACAGCTTCTCACATCTCTCTCTCTTTTTTTTAAAGAAGTTTTTGCCTTAGAGTGTGTGTGCCAGGGAGAGACAGACAGAGGTAGTGAGAGGGAAAGTGAGACATGAGCCGCCAGGGGGATGGCCACACCACACTCCCTTATCTATTCTCCAGATCATGGGCACTCACACACTATGCACCTGGTGTGAGCTTCAGGCCACTGGGTCTGGGACTCGAACTGCAGTCGACCATGTGGGAGCCCAGCAATGTAACTACTGCACCATCTGCTGGCCCCTCTTACGTATATCTTAATTGCGTCCATGCATTATTCCCTATGCAGCACCCAGGGTGGACTTCTGATGTGAATCTAGTTCAGCCCCTGTCAGTGTAAAACCCTTCAGTAACTGTCCCAGTGTTCTCAGAATCCAAGCATGCATTTCTAAGCCTGGCGTGCCAGGGGCCTTGCAGTTTCCATGTCTTTCTCTCTCTCTTCCTCTCCCTCTCCCTCTCTCTCTTTCTCTCTCTGTCTCTGTCTCTCTGGACTGGCCTCCTTCAGTTTAGTCTATTCAGGAAGGTTTCTGCCTCATAGCTTTCATATATATGTGGGCTCCACTAATTCCTTCTCTTACCTTTTAGCCTGACCTGCTCCTTATCATCTGAAAGATGGCTTAAATCAGGGAAGCCCTTTCTCCCTTTTACACCCCACCTTAGTTATATTGTCATTTGTTGTTGCCCTTTCGTTTTCTTTCTCTTTTTTAGCCATATCATGTCTGATTATGGGAGGATGACAGACACAGAACGGGACCAGATAGACCAGGATGCTCAGATATTCATGCGGACCTGTTCAGAAGCAATCCAGCAACTCAGGACAGAAGGTAATGTGCTTGAGAGATACACAGAGCCACGCACATGCCAGGTAGTTAAGCAGGGCCCGTGTGGTCCGTGTGGCACAGCCAGCTCAACTCCCTCATGTTCTTCACATTTAGCTTTCCAAGCTTTAAAATCCGTCCTCTCCTGATCAGTTTGTAACCTAAGTTGTACACAGTTATGAAAAGGGACAGTATCAAACCTAAACAAAGGGGAGGAAGGAGATGGAAAGGACCTCTCCACACAGAATGAAAAATGCGCCAAGTGGCTGGGATAGAGAAGGCAAATCGTATGTGTCTGTGTGCATGTGTTCCTGTGTCCTTGTGGTATCTGGTGAGGGGGTTGATGGCATGTGGATAAGGACTGAGGAGGGAAAGTAAGCTCTCTGCTAGTTGTATTAAAATGGGAAGAAGGCTCTGGAGCCCTGACAGCTTAGATATGCACCCCAGCTCTGCCACATTCTAGCACATGCTTGACCTTGGCATGCCATTTAATCTCTGGGCCTGTTTCTTCTCTATAAAATGCAGACAGTTTATAACTTACCTCCTAATGTTGTTGTGAGAATTAATTTAAATCCTTATACCATGCTTAGAACCGCCTGGCACTAGGGTGACTAATTATTATCTCTCTCCCATTGATGTTCTTGTTTCATGGAGGCCCTAAGATAGCCTCCCAAATCATATCTCTTCCTTGATTCTTTTTGAAAATAGTTCTTAGGCAGAGAGTACATTAAATAGTATGTAGAGTTTCGAACCTGTCAGATGCTGTTGAGCTCTTGACAGACTTTGGTTTAGAAAGCTTTTATTTGAACCCTGATGAGCCACTTGGAGGGTCTGATGGAAGTGATAGACTTTCTTGCCAGAAAAATATACATGGAAAATTTTGTGTGCAGTCTCACGAGTCCCTGAATCCCCCACATAAATCTCAGGTCACGCAGCCCCAATATAAGCCATGCGACCTACCAGTAGGGCATATATGTTCATTGAGACAACTAGACGGTACACATGAGCATTAATAAAACCAGCAGTTAAGTATGAAACTATATGACCTTGTGCTGCTTATTGCTTCTGAACTTTAGGTTTTATGTAAAACAGGCATAATTAGACATGCTGTTTGGATTCTCAGCAATATATATGTGAAGTACTTGCAGAGTACCTGCACATAGTAGGTGCTCAGTCTCTCTGTAAATGGCAGCTGTCTTACCAAACTAAGTGGCACAAATGTTAGGTTTGGTAAGTCTTCTTACCAGACTTGTGTGTGGTATTCCACAGAAGAAAGGCATCCCATGGCTAGGAAACATGGAAAGCTGCCTAGAGAAGCTGCCTCGGTGTCTGAGAGTCCCGTGGGGCATGAGTGGCCACGTGAGAGGACAGGTAGCCCAAGTAGAAAAACAGTGCAGGCGCAGGCGGGGAGCAGAGTATAGTTTAAGTCTGATTTAACCCTGTTACTTGAAGGCCAGCTTGAGCATTGGCTGTTGTTACACAGGTCGGGTCAGCACTCCAGAGTGGGCTGTATCAAATACTATTCCTGAGTGCAGCAACAGGCCATAAATTAGCCAGCTGTAGTTTTTCTACGGTTTAACCTTTTACTCTTATAAAGCCAAACAAATCTTACTCTTTTAAAAATGTAGTGGCGCTTGACACGAGACTTGTTTTATAGCTGTGTTTTTAAACATACTTTCAATAAAAGAACTGTTTTGAGGTGACCAGTGAGCAGGATAATGAGCTGCAAAGCCCTGAATGCGGTCGTTTCTGTTACAGCTCACAAGGAGATGCATTCCCGGCAAGTGAGGGAGCACAGGGCTGCTGTTGTGGAGTTCATTGAAGATTACCTGAAACGTATGTCATTTTCTTTTAAGGGCAAATGTGGCATTTCATAATACGTGCAATGCAGAACTTGCCATTGCTAGCCGAAGACATAGTGTTTCGTTATAGTTAGATACCATTGCCTTGAGAAGCTGTTTTAAATGGTCTCTCTCCTGATATTTTCCTTTGCAACAGGAGTGTGTAAACTTTACTCTGAACAAAGAGCCATCCGAGTTAAAAGAGTGGTGGATAAGAAAAGATTGTAAGTATTTTGGGTTGGTATTCCTTAGTAGTGATAATATTAATAGCAGCTACGGTTTGTAGAGCACTTACCCTATGCAATGTACCATGCTTGAATTTTTTCACAGAATGCCCAGGGTTAGGGCTCGCTATGGGCTACTTACTATGGGCCAGGCCCTGGGCTGGCCACTGGGTTAACTCACAACAAGCCCCCTGAGGCAGGCACTGCTACTGTCTTCATCTTACAATGCAAAAGCTAAGGCTCAGAGAGTTTGGGAACTCACCCAAGGTCCCCAGTGTGGAGCCAGAGGGCTGGGACTTGAGCCCAGGCTGTTGGTCCAAGGTTTGTGCTCTTGCCCGTTTTATTAATTAATAATTCTATGAGGCTGGGATACTTCTAGCCATTTACCTCAGTCTTTTTAACCACTATCCCATCCTGATTACCTCTGGAAGTGTTTTCCTGAGGGAAAAGCAATAGCACAGCAGCCAGGGCTCCACGGTAGGCCTTCCTTGGAGTGCCATGGTGTGGCACTTGCTAGATGCCATGCTCTCTGAGCACATGCCTCCTTGTTACCCCTGCACCTATGTCATGCAGCCACTTCTATGAGCCTCTTGCAGGTGAGTGACTTGTCCCAGGCCACATAGCCAGGAAGCTAGACAGCCAGACCTGAGTATTTCCCAAGGCTCCTGCCATCACCCCGCTGTCTTCCCCCATGGGCTCCATGCAGGCCCCCAGAGGGCAGGAACTGTGTCCATCACAGCTGTACAGCCAGCCTGGGAGACGGGAGAATCAGTGAACGAGCATGTTCTGTGTCCAACCTCCAGCTCTGGACCATTTCTCAACTAGCTTTGGGAGTAATTTCGGCTTTCCATTAGAGGGTAACACTGCGTGAGTGTTTGGGGTGAGGGCACATTTTCTTCATTCCTATGATGTCAGGGCCTCCACACTGCTCTCTGGTTCTCACAGGACTCGACGTACAGTCCTACTCATGACTGCGACGGATCCCACCGAAAGGATACAGAGCAAAATGGCAAAAGGAAAGGCATGTAGGGCCAATCCAGAGGAAACCAGGCACGCGCCCCTAAGTGTCTTCTCCGGTGGAGCTGTGTGACTTGGGCACATGTGGCTTGGGAGAGTGGGTGAAGTGCGTCAGCCAGAGAAGCTGGTCATGTAGGCATGAGCCAGAGTTCCAGACTCCACAGGAAAGCAGGTGCTCGGTGCCGAGCCTTTCTTAAACCTCATTTTACACAGTTTAGACATGGGGAGCGGCACTTACCAGTTAGAATGGTGCGAACACCCCTATGTCTAAGTCCTTAGAGGCAGGCACGCCCAGTGGTAGCAGTCTGAAGCATGCTGTGCAAATTCCTTTTTGCATATATGTGAAATGGATTTGAAATTGTAAATGTCAACATTGGTAGAAGCATTTGTGGAAAAGAGATATGAAATAGAACAGTCAAGTTATCCGTGAGCAAATAGCTACTATTCATTATATAATTCTCTGAAAGTGTCGTTTGAGAGATGCGGTAGATGAATCTTCCGTCCTCAAGAAGCTTGGACGTAGGCTGGGCTAGCGTATAAAAATGTGAAAAACAAGCCAATGTGATCGGGATGCATCGTAACTATGGAGGTCAGTGGTGGGTTCAGAGGGGACGGAGCGGCCAGGCGGCACAGCCTAGTGCCCAAAGCGCAGACTGCGGCTCGCTCGCCTGGCCTGCATCCTGGATTGCCAGGGTAAGCCGTGTGACTGAGGAGATTGCTTCATTACCCTGCGTCTTTATTTTCTTACTTACAAAATGGGAAGGTTTTACTAGTAACTACTAAGAGTGTTGTTGTGAGAACAAAAATGAGTCAGTACAGATGAAACCGTGAGTCAGTAAGTCTTCATTTGTATTACTACGTACCAGTAAGCACTTCCACGTGGCAGGCAGTATGTTAATTTATTATGTGTAATTCTACAATCACCTCATTAATAAATATTAGTATTTCTATTTCATTTTGCAAATGAGAAAACTGGGGCTCAGCAAATTCGGGTTAGCTGCCCAGGGTCACAGCTCAAGTAAGATTTGAACCTCAGGCAATCACGGCAGGTTTCTCAAGCAGTGGGATTTGTGTTGGCTGCAGAAAGGCAAGAATCCAGGTAAGCAGATTAGAGAGGAAGGAAGCAGTCCAGGTTTGCGGAGGAGTGTGGGCAGCGTCCAAGGCACAGGGAGGCCAGTTTGCCCCAAGCAGGTCATGGAGGAGAAAGCAGGACACTGATGGTATGTGACTTACCATCAAAATGCCATGCTGGGCCCTGGTCTCATACCCCCAGGACAGAGAGACCCACATTTCTACTTCACTGTGCCAGGCGCACCCTGGTACTTGAGACTTGACAGGTACCCCAAGTAAAGTAAGAACAGATTTTTGCTGTTACCTCCTCCATTCCTGGTTCTCAGCAGAGACTTGGATGAAAATACAAATTAAAATCAGTCAAGTGGGAATTGTTCTCATTTAGACAGTGAAGTACAGCCTTGTCTCCTGCCAAGTAGCTGCCCTGTGCCAGTTTATTTTGAGCAAAAGACTTGAGGGAAATAGCTGTATGACCCTTCACGATCTAGCCCACCTTCTCCTTGTAGTTCTTTCCTTACTTTTAGATAGAAAGCACCTGCCTAAAATATACACGTAATTGTCTCAATCCCTTGCTCCCCATGTCTTACAAAGGTTGCACACAAGAGGGTGGGAGACATCCTTGACAAGGTCTTATCACATCCCAGTTCCCTTCCCAGTCTCACAGCTCCTCAAGATCCTGGGCACCCACATATCTGTCCCCGGCCTGTTTTCAGGCCGACCTAGGGATCTGAACCTGCAGGCACCACGTGACTTCCAGCCTCGTGAGGAACTCGCAGTACTGCTGCACCACAGTTGCTGGGCCCACAGCTTCTGTTTCTTAGTCAGCCCTCCAGCCAGGCCAGGCACAGCTGCTCTTTGTTTTAGAGATGCCTTGTTCTTTGACACTCTCGTGACACAATCCTTGCTGTTTTGTCTGCACAGGATGTATTTCAATATACTTAAGATTCCCTGCCACCATACCCCCTGCCCCATTCATTTGGTAAACAAACTCCTGCTTATCTGTCTAGCCCCAATTAAAATGTCACTTGCTTTGTATATTCTCTTCCACTCCCGCAGGCTGTTAGTGGCTCTTTTCTTTGGTCCCTGCAGACTGTTCACTGTCAGGTGTAACACATACCCATACACAGCTGCTACTGGCAAAGGTGTCCCCCCACTGTGGGGACAGTGCCTGTCCTGTCCATGGGAACCACTCAGTAGGACTGTTGAGTGAGTGAATGATTGAACAACAACTTTCACTAATTTGGTGGTAAGTGGAGTTTGTTCATGGTCTAGTTGGATTGATGAGTTCTTTGTTTTTATATTATTTTCCTTTGGTAGGTGGTGGTTATTGTTAAGCTCATTCTTTAAAATTGGTTTGCAAAACCCAGGTGCATGTTTATGGGTGTTGTGTTTCCAGTGAAAACCAAACAAACAAACAGACTGTATTTTTTAGTTAAAGAGCATCCTAATTAAGATAGTCTATACCGGAATTTATTTTCATAGGATAGTAATAACCTATTAATCTACTATACCAAAGTACTCTTATTCCAAACTGGGTAAAAATGTTTGCTCATTAAATCAGAAATAGTCTCAGCTGAACTTTCTGCATTTTTCTTACGATGATTGTTAGTATTATCACTATTTAGCACTGTTGCTAAATGTGATTGTTTTCACCCATCCTTCAGGCATTTCCCTATCTGATTTGACACAACATCTGTCAGAAGCCCAGGCTGGGTCTGAGGGGTATTGATAACTGTTATGAGGTCTGCTCTCTGCCTTTTCTCCTACAGTAAGTCAGTGAGTCCTTTGGAGACCGAGCTTGATCAGAGCCTGCCACAAAGTAGGTGCTTTAATGGTTCTTGAGTGAAGGAAGGAATGAGTGGAGTATGGCCATTCACTCCTGCTCATTCAGTCCATGTGGTGAGTGCTTACAACTCAGAAAGGTTGTGGGCCAGTGTCGGGCACAACACTGGCACAAGGGGCTCTGTCATCCCTGCAGGGCTTGAACAACGCCCTCTTTTCCTCCTGATCACCATAGAGCACTGATATTTTGGTTATGATTTAAGTTGAATTAGCCATTAGATGCCCTTCTGGGTATATATTCTAAATAAAGAGCATCCGCATTAATCAGAAGCATCCCTCCTTTCCAGAAAGCAATTGGTTGTATATCATTGGCTTTTCCTTAAGGAAAAGGTTTAAGCTGACAATCTGGAAATCAGGATTAGCTTCTGATACACTTTTCTAGTAGTTCACACAATTTTCTTTCCAAAGCTAGGCAGAAGCCTAGGTACAATCCAAAGTCACAATCTTAGGCCTTTCCCTAAAACAGCATTTCTCTCTGACCGTGCAGTGGATCGTCTGGTCCTCTCTATGCATGGTCAGCCTTGCTGTAAAGTTTGCCTGGCTTGGGCACATCACTCAAACACATCTCTTTCACTAGTCCACGGCATCCTTAGAAGTGGAAGCTCTGGGCTATTTTCTCTATCTGTGGGGAGATTGAGAAGGCTCTAACTTACTAGTCTAACAGGTAATAGTTTCTACTAATACTGGATATGTTATGAAACAACCAGATCAGAAGACTGGACGACTGCATAGCACCTCCTGAGTTGATTTGTGTAACTCGGAGTTCATTGCCAGAATATTAGCATATCCTACTGTAGGCTCTAAAAGATAAGTGAGAATTCCCAAATTGTCCTGAGAAAATCCTGGTGACCTAAATAAGGTTTACTCTCTAGAACAATTTCTGTGGTCAGACAAGTTTGAGAAACGTTAGTGTTCAGACTCTGAGTCTGCATAGCCATTGCCTTTACATCTTTCAAACAAGGGGCAGTAGGATTGTTGCTAGCTGACCAAGGAGCCCTTTGCTTTAAAACACCTTGCAGACACACTTTAGGAAATACTGCCTTAATCCCATGGCCAGGAGTATGGCTTTT